AGGAGCGGCTCCAACAATTACCTCATGCCATGATCGCGACATCCGCGAGAAGGAAAAGGCATCTGGGAGCGCCAGCTCATCAGCGGCGCCCGCAGCGCCTGCGCCAGTGAGGATGCATGGCGAACCAGCCGCTGCCCCAGCGGGGCAACCCGCTGCTGCTCCTGAATTGCTTGAAGAAAGCAGACGGTGCTGGGAGATCTTGGGTACTGTTAACCGGATGAAGGTCAGTCCGTTGCAGTGTGGTGCAGCGTGACATCGACTGTGCTGCCGCGCGCGCCGATGACGACGCTCTTGCACTCCGGCGTGCTTGTAGCGCTTTGCGGAAAGATTTTGCTCTCAGTTATTTATCCGAGAAGGGATTTTTGAAAGGGGGTTCTTCGGAAGGAGCATCCCCGCGCGACGCTATTGCGCGACTCCGACAAGCGGGAATGCTTGGAGTGGTTCACTACTGCCACGCGGCACAAGCCATTCCGCGACGATGAGCCTTCCAATCGGTCCATCACAACTGTCACTCCATATGACGAGACCGACGGCTGGTATAATTCAAAGACTTACTGAACAATTGGCCGCCCGCAGACACGGGGGTCTGACGGCACTGGGAGCGCTCTGCTATTTCATGCGCGGCGCAAAATGGGTAAATATCGCGAACGTTCCCCAGGTCAGTCTGTCATGCCGCGGTGGGGGCGCCCCAAATTGAAGGGGCAAACAAATTATTCGCGGGTGCCCATGCTTACCTGGAGATGGGCGGATCCAGTCCGGCCTGCGCACAGATTCCGAAGTGTTGATGATGATGGGCCTCGAGAATTTTCTTCGCGACAGCGTTTGAATTTGGCGCTCTGCCAACGACGTTTTGATGGCGTCAGTCCGCGATGGCAGGGCCCCGCCAAGCCGCGTTGTTCAGCTCATTGGCATCAGGCCTAACGATGTCCAGTGCGTGTGCGATCAAGTTGGACAGGCGTGGCTCCATCTTATGTGCATCGATGACAACCAGCGGGGTAAGCTGCGTGCAACTACCATTGTTCCAAGGAGCCGCTGTGAGGTTCCTTTCGATGCATCGACGCTGAGAGGATGGATAGCACCGCAGACTCCTTACAACCTAAAGGCCCCTGCGTCGACACCTGCGCAAGGGGTCGAACATGCCTCCGTTTCTACGATGCAAGAGGCGCGCCGCGTTGGGGCGACCAAGGGGGGCTTGGATAGGTCATGGATGCAATCCCAGAGTGCTGACTTGTCTAGTATGACGTCCGACGGGATCGTGCCCGACGACGGGCTGTATGCGAACGACCCGTGGCGCGCCCAAGCGCAGCAGATGCCAGTGCCTGCAGGGCAACCTGCATCATTCGCACCCATTAGCAGGGCTACGGTCCCATTTGGAACTTCACAGGGCGCTGGGAGTACCAACAGGCTGCAGGCCAGGCTCCAAAGCATCAGAATGGATCCTCAGCTCTATCAGGCCTTGCAAGCGACATCGCCATTTGCATCGCCGCGTTCTACTGCAGGGCAACCGGCCATCGCAGACCACGAAGCTGCCCAGATGGCCGAGAGCCTCTTGGGGCAGCAGCAGTGGATGCACGGGCAGATGCGCGAGGCCATGCAGAGCACGCGACGGGGCGGCATCGACCTCCCGAGCGCTAGCTGGACGCCCCCATGGGAGCATATCCCAGATCCGAACCCATCGCCGGATCATCCCAACCGATATGGGTACGTTCCAGCATTCGTCAGTCACCCGACGTACGATCCAACGGCTGCTGAAAGGCCAATTGCTCCACCTATAGATGCCCCCATGTTCCCTGACTACGACGCTCAGGAGACGGGCGCCCCGCGCACCGGCACTCAGCCCGAGAACCCGTGCGCTCGGGCTACAGCTGACGACTTGCACCAGTCCCAGCTGACGCGCGGCGCTGGGCAAGAACCTGGTGGACCAGGCCATGTGCCTCACTGGGGATACTTGGCGGCCCCCAAGGACCAGGAGGATTCGCATCGCGGCCCTGGGCTAGCATTGCCATCGTCCATGGGGGAACTGCGCCCCGAGATCCTGGCCATCCATGAGGCGCAGCAGGCCGTGCTCTCCACGCAGCTGGCTCGCCGACGCCGCGGCCAGGAGCGACGGCTACGCCGCGTGATAAATCGTGCGGGGACGCCCGCTGCACCTACACCTGCGGGGCAACCCGCTGCAAATTTAGCAGCATTGGCAGCCGTGGGAGCACATCCTGCGGTGCGGCAGATGACGCCTGCGGCCCCACCGATCCAGTATGAGAATTGAGGGTCCACGTTGGAGCGACAGGCGCGTATCGGGCCATCGGCAACACAACACCACCAATCATCATCGACGGTGACTTCACCATGTGCGCCATAGGCCTGGAAGATTTTGTCTACCACGACAAGGTGTGGAGGCTTCGGTGTGGCCACATATTTCATGCGCAATGCTGGGATCGAGTTGCTCACGCACATGTGGGTCGGCAGTTGGCCGGCGCGCTGGAAGGTGCCGCAAGCGAGGCGCCCTGTGCCGTGTGCGGGGGTGTAGGCCGCGACGCAGCTGAGTTTCATGATGCCCTGGCTGGAGATCGTGCTGCAACGAGTCGACATGGAGAAATACTCCGCGGGGCAAATGAGCTCAGGGATCTTCTTGAGGAGCTGAGCCGCATCATGGCTGCAGTTGCCGCCGGGGCACCACCCGCAGTTGCGGCGCAACCTGCGTTATCCTGCAATGTGGGGCAGGCTCCAACAGCCGCGGCGCTTGTCGCAGATGCGCCCGCGCCTCTGGTAGCCGAATCAGCAGACAATGCAGGGGCACCTGCTGCAGCAGCGCCCGCAGGGTTACCTGCCAATGACCAGTGGCTGAGGCGCGTGGAGAGGACCATTGAAAGGATATCGCAATGGCTCCAATCACCATGCGGCAGCATGCCCTATGGCTGTCCGCCGCGACAGCGCAGGACCGAAAGCCCAGTGAGCGTGCGCAGCGGCACCGGTGCCACATCTGAGCGTGATCTAATGCATGCGGTGCTAATGGTCAACACAGATGGGCAGATTGCTGTGCGTGCCGGCGACGGTGCCTTCGAGAACACGCCGCTCTCTCCACAGTATCCCCATACGTACGACGAGTACCCGTCGGCCTGGATCTTCCAGCTACAGCCCATCACAGCAGAAGAGGCCAGTGGGTACATGAACGTCTTCACGTCCTTGACATGGGACCAATGGGTGCTGGAACAGAGACGCCGTAAGGGCACGCATGGCAGGACGCTGTCAGATGCGCCAGGGATATCCAGAGCACGCCATGAGCTGGCCCTGGCAGCGAACAGCGGGACCATGGTAGATGGCATGCGGACTATCCTACTGGACATCGGCAGCAACATCAATATCATCGGTCTGAAGGCTGCACAGACATGCGAGCGTGTTTCGCGCTCCCTCGGACACGACATCAAGAAGTTGAACATGACGAAGAGGTTGTACGTGTCTGGTGTGAGGCATGGTGCCGCCATCTGCGACAAATTGCATTGCAGGACAGCAGTGCAAGGAGAGAGGCGATTCTGCGGGGGCGCCCGCTCTGGCCAGGCTGGACGCATTCAACCGCAGTGGCTGAAGGCTCCGGCGAGGATCTCCCTGCTATATTGGGCCTGAGGGGCATGTCCAACATGCGTGCTATCGTGATCCTGGAGCAGGGGCTCGAGAAGATGATTGTTCCAATCTCAGAGATGCATGGGCTCCTCCTTGGCATAGGCGCCAGAGTACTCGACCTGATGGAGACGCCCTCGGCGCACCTGGCGAGCAAGGTCGACGAGTACGGGGTCGCGACAGAGGATAATGGCTCGACGGGATTTACTGTGACAGCCGATCCTCGCTGCGAAGATACGCCCCTGCTCGTCAAGGAGGCGGCCGACCTAGAGCCAGCGGCGGGGCAACCCGCCTCGGGCAGCGCGAGGGCGCCCGCCATCAGCGACGCCCGCGCGCACATGATGTCCCAGGACACCAAGGGCATTCGCTTCTCCATCAACGAGGAGACGTTTTCCTACACGATCCAGTCTTAGGTGAACAACGCCCTCAAGACCTGGCATCGCAGGGGCACGGCGCAGGGGGCTGTCCCTGCACCGGCCGATCAGGATTTCGCATTGCGCATCTTGCAGGCGAAGGCCCATCGGGCCAATTACGAGGAGGGCAGCAAGTGGGCGCCGCCCGACAACGCTTCAGGGACACCTGCTGGATTGAATGCAGGGGCGCCTGCTGGAGTCAGTGGCGCTGCCGAGCAGTTTAATATATTCTTACTTCGAGCAGTGGCTCAGCGGTGCATGGCACAGGCGTTTGGGCGCCCCCATCGCTTGAAAATCAGTGGCGGGGGCAGGCGCGTGCCGCGGCCATTCGCGCTCGCCCAGACAGGCCGAACACTGAGGTTCTGTCGTCAGGCGCGGGGGCACCTGCATGCGTTCCCCAGGCGCCCTCCGTGCGCGCCAGGGACAACGGCGGACCCGGCTGCGAGGCCGCCAGAGACAGCAGCGGACCCGGCTGTGCGGCCGCCGCAGCATGTGAACGCTCGTCGCATCATTATCATTATCGTGCTCGCGTTGTCGAAGACATACTGACAGCTTGCGCTGAACTCCGAGCTCGAGGGTACATGTTCGATCGTACCACTCACACAGAGGTTATGACTTCCATGGGTACAGAGTATTTGGGTGGAGTGTCTCAGGGGATGATCAATTACTGTGGGTGGCAACGTCCGCTGACCGGTATGTTCGATTGCCTGGGAATCGGGCGGGGC